CGTCAATTTCCAAACGTCCTCGGCGTGGGTCCGAGTGGTCACGCATGGTCACCTTCGAGGTCCACAGCGTCCACGGCATGGCGGCGGAATAAAGGGCGAGCCGTAACCACGGTGCGGCTTAAGCCGTTCAGAACGGTCTCCGCGTCGAACGGAGCGTTCTGGAGTCTTTTGCTTCGTGGTTTTTGTTTGTCTTCTCAAACCGTGACCCGTTTGAACAGGGATCAAAGTCGAATCCGGAAGGGGTCTGCGTTTCTTCGCCAATGGTTTTGAAGGGCTGGTCGGGCGTCGTTTCACGAAGCATCTGGGCGACATTCCTCCTGTCATTGCGACCTTTCCGAAACAATGGCTGAGACTTGATTGTTGTTCAAACTGTTTAGTTGGTTTTCGGCAGTGTGGTGGGCCTTTTTGGTTCTGTTGGTCATGTTAATTAGAATCCCAAAACTTGGGTCAATCATGATCAATCCAATCACACTAAACAAACAATTCCCCTAAACCAGTGTGAAATAAGTATTGTAAACACATTGATATGACGCCATTGCTTGACATGGACGATTCTTCTGATCCTTGACAATGACGGCGAGGCTAACACTTCTGGCAGCATGCCCTTCGTCTCGCGTGGTCTTGGTTGGCCAATGGGGTTGAAGGTCAGCATTCAATCAGAAAGTCAAACAGTCAGGACATTCTTCGCTGGGGCCTTCAAAAAGAAGTGGTCTTCGCTGGACCATGTTGGAAGCATGGAGTCGTGCAAATTAAATCTTGACAATCCATTTTCCAATCCCACATGTGTCTACAGGAAAAGCAGCTGGAACATATGGAACTCACATGTGAGCCTTGGAAAAGGAGTGCACTTGTCTGCACGTGTTGTTCCCTTGAATACATATGATGAAATTGCTTCCCAGAGCTTCTGTCCAAACCTGATATTATGACTTCCCCTTCCCGATGGATCCACATACCCTCTCAACAGGTGGTGTGTTGAACACGTTTACGCCTTGATGTCCACTGGTACCGAACCTCAGAACGTCGCAGTGGATCCCAAAAGCCCCAAATGGGGCGGTCAAAACCATCGACCTCATCCGCAGGATCCGCGGTGCGCGACCCGATCGGGGTGGTCGTTGATCTCGAGAGACCGTCCTTGTCCTTGGAAATGAAGTTGGCCCGGGCGTCCTGATGGAAGAAGACACCAACTCTGACCAACTCTGCTTTCAGTTCTGAAGGGTGAATCATACTTTGGAACAGTCTTGGTGTGTGCGTCAATGCTCCTTCTAGTGGTCAAGTTCTAGATCCAGCGCACCCCATCACCAGTGATCATGGCAAGTGCTAACCTTTGAGCACGTCACCCCGGCGATGGTCTCTTTTCTGCTCTGATCCTTCCAAGAAATCCAGGATATTCAAGATATGTATATATAATCATCGTGAACGGGTTATCATCAAAAATACACCTGGCCTTGGACCATCCACCTCTGTAGTCATGGGTTTAACCAACAGGAGCTCCTACTTTCGGGTACCGATGCTGCCAGACCTGGCTGTGCCACTACCGGTTTGAGTGGCGAATGGGAAATCACCAATAAATGAACTGGGCCAACCATACTTCAAAGCTTTGCCAGATTCTCTTGATCTACTTGCATCAAGCTCTTCAGTCTATGTACAGAATCTTGACATAACATGAGTTCCACATGTCAAAACCCTAAGAATCTGGCAGCATCTGGTGCCAACTGTTAGGATCTACTTCCCTTCTGTTTGGAGCTTTTCATGTTGGGATGCCGACCGCCCAAACTCAAACCCCTCTTGCCTGCTTGGGCACCGCGAAGGCCGGCTGCCGTTTCTGCCGCGTGGCAGAAATAGGATCAAGACCGGTGGAGCATTTCAGGGGTCTGGAAATCCAGAATAAGTATGGAAAAGCATCTGAGACGCTGGAAATCCATAAATCCTGATCAGGTCTTGGTTTGTTGGGAGCCAGAAATTCTTCTGATAGTGTAGAATGAAGAGAATGGAAAACCCATGTGTTCACACCCATGTACAGACTTCAATTGGCATCCTTGCTCGGACATTTGCCAAGTCTCAGAAATTGCTGGGTTGCCAACTCCTATCAAATATACAATGACGATATTAAGAATTCAAGCCTCTACGAGCTCCGCTGGGGCCCAACACGGCGGCGAAACAGGAGATTCCAATTTCCCTTGTTGCACCAGCTTGTTCAGCACTGGTATCCCATTTCTGAGTTGCATGATTGGTTGTGGCCGCCGTGGCCGATGTCGTCCATAAGTCGGATTGGTTACAACCACAAACCAACCAATGACTCCCAAACTCAAAACATAGACGCACTCCCTCTACCTCTCACTTAAAACAACCATGTTCCACCAAAATGATTTTATATAGAAATTAGGTCAGAAACCACTGGTACTGGTACTGGTAACAGAAGAAACGGATGGGTCTGTCACACATGGGTCGACCGTCGCATGGGTGGTTGTTGTCCACTCGATACACATCCCAATGACAGACCTCCATCACGTCAAAGTTCGGGGAGTAGTAGCCAGGACCCAGCTGAACGCCCTGAGAAGGCAGAAACCGAACGATGAGACGTTGGTGTTGAGTATCCGTGTTGAGTATCCGTGTGTGCGTGTGTGCGCATTGGTCCAAAGAGAGATGAAAGGATCAACGCGTTTTCCTAGTAGCGTTCTTGCTCCTAGTATATAGGAAGGCCAGGAGCCCCTAGTAGCGTCCTTGCTCCTAGTAGCGATGCCAGGAGCCCCTAGTAGCGAACCTAGTTCCTAGTAGCGTCCTCTACCCCCCCCTTTTCGTTCTAAGACTAAGACGTCTCAATATTCGATCGCCGGAACCCTTCGGCAGTTGCAAACATGGGAAAGGAAGGCTCCGGCCGATTCGCAGGGTCCATGGAGTCCTTCTTTGCAGTTCCATCCGATTCACTCTGGCTTTGAACAAGTACCACGGTGGCGTCCAAGGATCCAAAAATCCAATCCAGGCAGGGAGGGAATCCCTAGGATTTTTCTTGGAACCATAGACTAATAGGCCGCTTCAAAAAATTTAAACTAATTAAAACTGCCTCCAATCAATCAGTCAGTTTCACCTGCAATTTTGGTACAGATGTGACAAAAAAAACAAAAATCAGGTACCGACCACGACCTGCGAGGAATCCATGCTGAGGCAAGCTGTCTTCTCTGACTTGAAGTCTTCACATCCTCCTCTGCTTGCCCAAGCAAAAGAAAAGAAGCTGTATTTCTCACCTTCTTCTTGGTCTGCTTGTCCCTTGGAACGCCGCCAAGCTGTGTTGCAAGGCTCTGTTGCTGTGTTGTGGTTTTCTGTCCCTAATTAGGTCACCAAATATGAAAACCTCACATGCAAGTCCTATCACACACTGAGGCAGTGTTCCTTGAACTGAACATGTACGTCACGCTCAGAGAACAAGGCTCCATGTCCAAGTGATGGGCAGCAGCATGGATAGCTATATATCATATCTATATACATAAACAGAACTGAACTGAACTGTAGAATTACCACTTACCACGGTTTCTTTCCCAAGAATCCCATACACTTCTCAACGTCTACGTCTCCTTTTCAGGAAAAATGGAGGCTGAGATCCGTACTCCTTGCTTTCCGGAGCGATTGCCAGGCCTCCGCTGTTCCAGTCGATGTTCGATGCGGCCCGATGCGGAAGCGGGAGGACGGCGAGGACGGCGAGGAAGCAGTTCGATTCCTTCGATGCGAAGCTGAAGACTCGGTCCTTTGGCAACAAGCGAAGCTTAAGCCGTGCTGGACATGAACGTTGAGGGGGGGGAGACTGAGATCCAGTCAGTCCACGTGCTTCTCCGGCTTCTGCGGATCGTACCTGAGTCATCAAGAAAATGAGTAGCAGTAGAGACAATAAATCAGCCCTATGGATCTAGAGTTAAACAATTACCCCAGAATGTAGTATAAATGGTCCATCTGTTCAGGCTAGGCAAAAGTTGCAGAAACATACACAAAACATACACATAATACGAACCGCAAGAACTCCAGGAAAGCATAATGCAAGTAGGTGCACAAGTATGACTGACATGTTGGGAGGGTCACAGGATCCCACCAGGACCGCCCAATAGGGTGGTTGATTCAACAAACATACCATGCGCTTACCTCTCCAATCTTTCTATAGGGACGGTCCCGGTCCAGAGGTTTTCTCGGGGTGCCACCGTTTCAACCAAAACCTTTCTGTGCAAGGCGTCACATCAGCCAAAAGTGTCTGTCCTTTTATTAAAGATCAAAAGAGACTCCATAAAGGGTCGTGCCACAGCTTTAACTATGTTCTGGGGTTTGATTTGGCAAATTGTTGTAGATAGTTAGACCCAACGAACAAGTATAAAATGTGAATATCTTGCGACTGAGATATCAAGCTAAACTATCAGTTATTTTTGGTGAATGGTTTTGACGAGGGCCTTCTTTTACAATAACTAATCTGTTTCTTTGCAAATATGGCAAGGCCACTTCCAGGGCAGTCTTGACACATGGTGTATCCTCCAAACACACACTCGGGAAATTGCGTACTGATATGAAAGCCTAAGGAAACAAGAGGTACAAGTGAGTCAAGCGGTGTAACCATGACGTGCAGGTCAATGAATCTCAAATTCCAGAAATTCCAAAGCTTCCAGACGACTCTAAAAAGTGAAAAGAGCGATCGACGGGGCACATCATGCCTGAAATCATCCTGCAACAGCCTGAGGACCTCTACAATTGGAGAATGGCCAAACATATGCACAACTGAGGTGCATGTACGCCGAGTTGATCAGACTCGGTGGCCCACAATCATGCCGCACTCCCCTGCAATAGAAAGAAACCTAACCAAAAGGTAACCTCTGAATCCAAGGTGTACACACACAAAGAGCCCCAAATGCAAAAAGAAGCTCTGCCTGAGCTCTGGAATGCTCCAGACCTGTGTCCTCCATATAAAAAAACGGGCAACTAAGGATGTCTTTCAACTCCCAACTCTCTGTAGTGTTGTAGCCCTTTCTTCAGCTGCTCTCTTTCACCAGCAAAATCAAACGCACCAAAAAGCCGTCGCACTCATTCTCAGCTCCCCTAGTCCAACCGCCGATTCCACCAGCCCCAGTTCCGTTGATTCCGTCAGCGCACTTTCCAGGCGCTGGCTTCCACTTGCCCTCCATCACCGCCTGGCACGAAGCGGAGTGCCAGTCGGACTGGTGACATCTAGCAAATGAACGAACAAAAGCTGAACCCTGAAGCCCAAACCCCAGTTTGAGACACATCCAATTGTCACTAGAAAGACAAAGAACATGTATACTGTGACGTAGTATACATCTGATTTCCATAGCGACTGCATGTTTCCATTTCGGTGCTCCAGTGATGGGTGAGGGTCAAGGAAGTTGCTGAGAACAAGTCAGAGATATACTATATCTGGGAGCGAGAGGCTTGAGGGGAAGGAATTATGTCTAAAGGCTCGTAGATTCACCGACCATGGCCATTCATGTGTGCAACAGGACCATAGCAAGGTGTCGCCTAAACTGGCAGGTCAGTGTGCATTCTTGCTGCGGAGTATGGGAGACAAAATCATGTAGCTGCAGCTTGCCCATGCTGACACTCAACAATCACTGCAAAACACTGAGTTTGGGACATTCACCACTGTGCTGACGTCATGTCTCGTCAATCACTTTTGCACTCAAAAGACGGTTCTGCCGAAAGCCAGTCGCCACGAACCGTAAGGTGGTTGACCACTGACGGAATCAAACTGTACTGTACATGACAACGCTCTCAGAGACCTCTAAAGCTCTGGCCGGTGGCACGGCAATGCCAATCTCTTATCAGGTTGTGTGTCTCTACAAAGAGCAGTCGTTTGCTTCTATGGGAAATCTTAAAATGCGCAAAGAGCCCACAACTTCTCACAGCGTGTTTTGTGCGGCCAGACTCACCCACACTGAAGCTCGTGATATCGCGTATCACCTATCGCCATTGCGACACAAATTTGGTTAAGTTTCGCAACACAACATTTTTACATAACTGGATGTCTTAAGGTATATGTATATATAATATATATATATATCATATCTATTAATTATATGAGTTAAATAACTTACTGTAAATATTAAAAACACACATATTGTATATATTATTACATAAATAATATGCATAGTACAGTGCATAGTACTATGCGATACTATGCGTATTATATACTATCAGTATTTCAATGTATTTTAATATGTATATACATGTGGGTGTACAGTCTGTCGTGTGAAGCTGTGATGATATACCGGTGCCCACTCTCCCACCCGAGACCTTTGATCTCTCATCCTTCAGGTGGGAGACCACCAGCCAGGGGACTTTTGGCTCTGCGTTTCGGCCAGGCGTCGGTGTTTCTGGCGTCGTCATGGAGGATGGGAAACAAAAGTTGCAGTGCTGTGGAGGAAGGCCTTCACACCCAAATCGCCGGTGTGGCGACAAGGTCTGCGAAGGAGACCTTTGTGCTTCTGACTTGCAGCAACCACCACACATCGTGGTACTACCGGGCGCCGTCAGACCGGAAAGAGGCACACAGACCACATGGACTTTGACTGGCGAAACAGGTTGGAGGAAAATGAGGAAAGCATACAAACCTTCCCAAGCCTCGCCATCCTGGCCCACCCCAAGCTGCAAATGAAGTCCAGACACTCCACCAAGCTGTAATTCTCTCTATGCAGAAGGACAACACCTGTTCAAGAGGTCCTTTCACATGCAACTGATCATGGGTCAAAACACTGAACCTCACAACTGCCCAGCTTCCTAAACATTCTCACAATTGGCTTTGACCCGCTCAGCGCAACCAACACTCACTAGAAGCAAAAACTAAACAGTTGGTCTCTGAACACAAACGAACAAGAACGTCCTTTTCCAGGTCGAAAAAACACCTGGCCGGCTGTGCGTGAATTCAAAAGAACTTTACAAACTTTACAGGTATAATCTGCTGGATTCTAAGTCGATTCCGAAGAATTATACTTCGCCCCTTTCTTAAGGCAGCAGGTCCATTCCACCAGGGGTCTTCTGGTGTTAGAATCACCTGCGACCAACATTTTGGGCGTGCATGTGGCGAGAAGAACGTGGACTTTAGCCACAAATCCCGCTGCAAGAGATCCCGCAGGGTGCTGAACAGGATTCGCTCCCTTCATGGCCCGCCGGACTTCAGGCCACTTCCACCTGACAGACATGACTCACGTCTGACTCATCCCGAGCTGGCGGCCCCTGCCGGCTGGCGGCCGGTTGGGGTGAGTCGTCCCTACCTTCGGATGTGGGAGCCTGAGAAACATGTCGTGGATGGTCAAAACCAAGCCATAACATGTCAAGTGTTTGTAAGCGAAGTGGGTCATATTGTAGTTCTGTCAAGCCAACTCGAGCAACAGGTGGACTGTTGGAGCATGTTTTGCTCACATGTCTTGCAAATTGATATGCAAAAGGAGGATGGACGACACGCAACAATGTATACCAAAGCTAAAAAAATTGGAGGACGATGTAAACTCCGAGACTTCAAGAACCAGAGATTTCGGCGCACAAACGTTGATCAGCTTTAATTGCTTAAAGTCTAAAGTCAAAAACAGTCTAAATTATAAGCTTTATGCAGGCTAGTTTGACTGTTGGGCGCCACCACAAGCAAGATTATTCTTTCTGCACCCATCATAGAAAATCATAGAAACAGGTGACACATGTGTCCTGATAACGTTTCACTGATGTGGGCACTTCACTGATGTGGGCACTTCACTGATGTAGGAAACAGTTTTTTTGCGATCCCTGTCGCTGCCGTCTTGCGCCCAGGTGCTCCAATGGTGAGAGACATGTCAGCCTGCCATAGTGTTTGCACTTCTCAACATCTCAACACAACGAAATATCCAACCAACCAAGAAGAGGTGGAACCCTGCTGTGTACATTCTGATCACTACAGCAACCTCAAAAAACGAGACGTGACCCTTGAAACGTCATGAAAACACAGTGTAGAGCCCTCAGAAAAAGCGAAAGCGCCCAACTGCCAGGTGTTTGCAACTCCAACCTTTCATGAAGTAGGGTCCTACAACACCCACGAGTGCCGCAACATGTTTGTCTGGAGTTCGGGATCAGTGGCTATGCTATCCTAATTCTACAAGCTATTATAGCCTAGGTATGTGGTGAGAAAAGGAGCGAAAATAGCAAGGGGCGAACTTCTCATGCCCTTGCCTGCATCAACATAATAACCGCCATCACACGAACACCTTCTGGCGCCATTGATTGTAGTGCTGGCACTTCTTTGTCAAAGTGTTTCTTCATGTGAATCAACCACCGATTCAAGCAGAAGAAGAGAAACACATGTTTAACGGACCACAGAGTACACTCATTTCGCTTCAGCTTCACAAGAACCAGCTGTTCGACCCGCTGAAAAAAGTTGGTTCTTTGTACCATGCAAACCCTACAACCCAGTCCCCCAATAGAATCCCACATAGGCTCACTCTATAGGCTCACTCACTCCATGGAACTCCGGCGGAATTGGACAACATTTGCATCCCAATGTAGACAAAGAACTATATTATATATAATAACCTAGTTCGGGGTGGAAACTCCGCCAGAATTCCATTTAGAAGGATATGTAATCTCCTGGAGATTCTGAACAGAAAGTGTTGCGCAACTCTGGTCATCCAGAAGAGTATATTCAATATGTATCACATGGGGTCGCGGGTACATTCTTGACAATGTGAAGTATCACACAAGCAAAGCCATCACTTCTTACTGTAGGCTTATGTTCCCGCTGTCAGAGGGTGCTTGGATGTTTGAGCAACTTGATATGACCTGGCTCCTAAGCCTACTTTCTCTAAAAGCTTCTCTCTCTCTCTCTCTAGGATCTGTTCAAAAATCCGAAACAACATTTTAATCTACATCTTACATTCCGATCTCCAAGCTGGAAGTTGATGATGGAAACGGATAGTGCCTGCCGTGTCAGGGTGGAAAAGCCTATAAAGAAGTCTGAAACCTCATATCGAATTGAAAGAACCCATCTGCTACATCCACCAGTGGAAGGAAACCACCTGGACCCGAGTTCAAGTACCTTAGAAAATGGGCCAAACAAATAAATATATATATATAAATATATATATATATGTGCATAAATATGTATGTATATATAGTGTATTTGTGTACTGTGTACCCATCTTCTGAGGTACATAAACTACCTCCAGGCAGTTGCTTGGAGCTCTCCTGAAACTCACCTCGCCAACTGATTCGAGCACGACAAAAGAAACAACGACTGATTTGGGTCCAAAAGACTCCGCGATGTTCGCCCCCCGCCCCGCAACTGGATTTCACAGTGAGTTTTAAGGATGGCAGAGGTTCAAGAATCCTATAGACTTGTCCTATAGGTACCCCACAAAAAACAAAAAAGAACGGGTCCCTATAGTTCAGGTCACTGGCTACCCCTGTTGCTTAGGTCACCTCTCTTTCGCGATGCGATTCTCGGCGCTTCGTCGACCGGTGGTCCTTGTCGACCACCCGGCGCCAGTCGATGGGCAACTCGCAGAGCTCCGAGACGCTGCGCTCGGGACAGGTGCGGAAGGGGCCTCGATGGGGGCGTGGCGACAGCGGTTTCCCCTGGTGAAAGAAGGTGTCTGAATATGGAGGGCGGGGTGGGGGTGTACAGGGTGACAGGCACTGAGGCCGGCTTTGGAAGGCATTTGAAGGACTGGAAAGGGGTGGAAAGAACATGGTTGAGAGGCTTGCTTTGGGCGGTTCTTAAACGCCAACCCACACCAACTGGTCACGGGAACTTAACCGAAGGTTGGACAAAAGTTGGATGAGTCTGAAAGCTGGACAACACCTTTTCAGAAAGATTGTCTCTCCGACATCACCCGCCGAGAAGGAGCATTTAATTTTATTATTGTTGAACACCTTATACAACTACTATGTTGTGCTGTAGTGGTGTTGTCTCCTCTCTGTTGTAGTTGTTTTGTCTTTTGTTGAATTGTTGGGCAATTCTGCAAACACTGATCCTCTAGTTGGAAGGGAGGATCTCACAACACAGTGCGGCTAAAACACCATCGTGCAAACAGGGACTTCATTCTACAAGTCAAATATCAAATCAAAGAGACCCCAAGTTTAGTGGAGGCTTACCTTCTGTCTTTTCGAGTTTGAATCACCGAACATGAGAGCTTCGGACGTCCTGTGTCATAGTCCCTCCCCACAACGACCTAAACGATCCTTCCATATCCTTCCTATATAAGATTGTCCTTCACACAAACATCCTCTGGAACCAAGCCGAAGCCGCGATTGGAACCAACCAACCCCCCGTCGCCCCCCATCGCCTAGTTTATACGTTCCGATGTGGAAGAAGAGCTGCAAATCCCCCACCTCAGATGCACAGCCCATGTGTCCCCACAGGCTGGGTCTGGGATATATTGTACAGATATATATATATAATATATATCCTCCAACTCTGTAATAAAGGATGAGAGCGCTAAATATGAGGCCTTGTATTGGAATTAGTGCATCAATGTGCATCAAAGATACATCTGAAACAGCAATCTATTCGGATTCGAGTTTTTCATCTTATTCCAATTGCTATGTGGGGTGCCTGGGAAACACACGCAGCAGGAGGATGTCCAGAAAGTTTAAAGTCAAACACTCCAAAAGGACTCCACCGGCAAAGTGGCAAAGCTGATAAAGATCTGTCATGGGCGATTTGTCTGCCATCCTCGATTCTACTCTCTCTGCCGCCCCATCCAGTCCCGCTTGGAATGATTTGTGCATACCCTTCGTTTCGGGATCCAGGCGTGATACGGAGAAGGGGCCTTAGGTGGGCCTTCGGAGATGGATCGTTCGTATGCTCGCCCTCAAAATCAAGTGGTCTTGTGGATGGCCACGCTCCGTGACCCGTGACACTCTCACATGCAAGTGGATGGCCTACCCTGTTCGGAAAGGAACATCGATGAACATCAATCTAGAAAATCCAAGGGGTTCATGCTCCAGTTCCAGGTTTGTGAGTCGGAGGGCACACCCTGTTTCACCGCAAGTACCACATCCAAACTCCATACCTCCTCAAGAAGTCTGCGAGCAACAACTTGGCGGCCGGCCACTACAACCTTGGATGTCTCATTCTTCGCCCAGCAGCCGCTTCATCGCCCAAGAATTTCAGCTGCAAAGTGCCAAACTTCGAGGTGGCCTGGAGATGCTTGCAGATGGAAGCAGGATTTCAGGCGAATGGCCGGCGAGAGGCCCAACATGGCCCAAAGTGAAAGATTTTGAGAAGTCACTCAGGATACTCAGGCCCAGGATGGGCTGTGCACGAGGTTTCTCACCATCCTGATTTTTGGGATGTCCAGCTGCGTGGTTGTACTGAAGCCGGTGTGGCATAATGTTTTCCTCCTTGGATCCCCGAAGAACTCGTTTCGGCTACTCGACTGTTTAATCATCATCAAAGTGATCTAAACCAGGTTCTAGGCATTGTAGGTGCCCGGGACCCCGTGATAGAAGGCCTTGCTAGGGGTCTGCTGCTTCTTGCCCTTGTTCTGCGAAGACCATGCTGTTCCAGCGGCAAAAAATCCTCAGTTGAATCATAGGAGCAAAAGCCATGGACAGTAGCTCAAAAGCATTCAAGAATGTTCAACCCGGGGAGCTGCAGATTGGATGGTCAATGATTCTACCAGTGTCGTGTTTTTCATGCTACTCTGTGGCTTGGACATCGAATCGGGAGTATGCACAGTCTGTCGGGTTCCGGGCTGCAGTTCCCCAACAATCCATGAATGTGCTTCCTGGTGACAACAGGTGCCCAGAAACCACCTGTTGGGGTCTCCAAACAGCCTGTTGGAGGGTCCTGGTATGGAATATGTTACATTGACCCCAAACCAAACATCTTAAACACATTTAAACACTCTATATTCACCACCATTACGCCTATCGGATCCTCTTCCTCTCTTCAAGCTTACGAACCAAAACCGAGCTTCACTCGGAAATCCTCCAGGAAGTGGTTGCTCAGCTGGTGTGAGACCAAAGGGAAGCCGCCTCAGCGCAAGCTCAGCAGGCGGAAACATGCACAGCTGGCATGGCAGCAAGCGGCAAAAAAAACACAGAAGGCCCCAGGGGACATGGATAGCTCAAATAAACAGGGTACGGTGCCCCCATTTTGAGCAGGGTACCATACCCCCGCAAGCACCCAGCCCCTTAGTAGCCAAATTTGTTATCAGGCCCCAGTTGTGCGCTGAAACTGCGGACACGTACGTGCCCACCATCGTCAAAGTATGTGCAGGTACCAATCTTCGGACTTCAAGGCAAAAACTTCCTGAGGCTGCCTTTTCTTTCACATAAAACCAAAATTCCCTCTTCCAAATGAGGCAAACCTAGACTAGAGTCGTGGAGGAAGATACAAACTCGACTGGATCACCTTTCACATGCGTTTCAAAATCACAATCCAGTTTAAGTTGCCGACAAGAACCCTCCTTACGTAATGCCGGTCCCATGAAACAAACACAATTTGGTCCCATGAAACGTGCAAATTCGTACAGGCGATTACTGATACCCACACACCTCCAAGTACCTCCTCAGAAGGTATTTGGACCCTCCAAACCCACCCCAAACACCTTCTCAGAAGGTACTTGGAGGGGTGCATGATACCTCTCCTCCCAAAACCCCCCAAAAGCGATCTTGAAGGCTCTCCATTTCAGGCTCCCTGCTATCGGGCGTGCCCATGCGCCGGACCAAAAAGCACCTCACCTATCGCATCCTCGGTTGATATGTTTTTAAAACACGATGTTTGCCTTCAAATCCAAGTGGCAGCTTGCCTTGAACTTGGCGTTGGGGTTCTGTACCCGCCACGTGACGAAGCTTTGGGCAGTCGTCGGGAGCAGTTCCGCCAAAGGCAGCTGAATCTTCTCCTTGGGAACTGCGGCCAAATCGGGCGATGAATGCGTGGGAAGCTTAGAACAAATCAGAAACAAACACAGTGGCATGGGCTCCACATCTGAAGCTGGTCCACAAGCTCAAAGGTTGTAAGTTGTAATCATCTTAAACACCTGCATATAGAGTCGAGTATATTTGAACCTGCATGGCCAGTAAGTGGCAGCACCTCCTACCATAGCCTAGAAACTACAACTTTAGTCTATGCTGCAAACCTCACCTGTCTATTCATTGATGATGCAGGAATGACTCGTGCAAAAATAAGGGATGATAAAGGCGTGAGTCTTCAACAGGCAAACATGTTCCATGTTAGTCATCCGTACATCGTTTGGCTTCGCTCCCCTCAGCAAGGTTGCCAGCTCCCCGCAAGGAGCGCACTCAACCCGCGTGACGTGCGGTCTGCCCTCGGTGCGGCCGCGAATCGTCAGGGATTCGCTGCGTGGGCAGCAGCAGGGGTGAGTTTTCCACACTTGAGCGTCCAGACCTGAGAATGAGGGCCCATGCCATGGGCGCTGCGCTCAGTTAGGCACTCAGAGAAGGCCCACTTGAAGCCTGGTTCAAAAACATGATCTAAAGGTCGAGTTGGACTAGTGCATCTGGAGTTCTTTCCATTAAATCATACCAATTGACGTCCAAATTGATGAGGGGAAATCCGTCGAATAGGAGTAAATCCACGTCGAAGGCGAATTTGCGCGGCAGCCAGAAACCACCCTGCAAAGGACCTAATAAGCTTGGGAAATTCCACAAGCCCACCAGGGAGTTGCTATTTCACCCAGTTGGTAGGTATCAGATTGAAGGTTGATTCAGGGAGGCATTTTGGGATATAAAGCCAGTTTACATACAGCACATAAAGGACAACGGTGAAAACCACCACACGCCAAATGGGTCTCCTCTCCGGCTGTCCGTGTTCTCGTCACCCAACTCTGAGAGCTTAGACCCCTTTTGGACTGGATTGGTCTCACCATGAGTCCAACCCAACCTTCCGGACTCCTCTCAGGCCTCAACCCCTTGCGGCCCTTCGGCTGTTTCCCCCCACCCTGCTGCCCTGGCACCTGCTCTCGGAGGCCACGGAGGGTGAGCGCGTCTCGGCGTCGAAGTTGAAGTCCTTCAACTTCAGCTCCTGATGACTGCGACCAGCGGTGTGCTTGCGGACGCAACGAACAGGCAGGCTTCTATCCATCCATCCCTCCCTCCCAATCTATCCATCCATCCACCCATCCATATCTATAATATCTGTATATATATATATCAATGTACACACACATATATATATTTGTAGCGAGGTTGATTTTTGGCGCAGTTTTGGAATGGTGGAGAACAGCAGAATGCAGAATGAGGATTCATGGTATACATCGTAGAGTATATGTCAGTATATCTGTAGATGGCACTTAAGGTCAATTGCGTCTCAGTTTCACTTGAAGCCTCCGGCAACTAAACCTGCCCATATCAACTGCAGGTAAGCCTCATTTAAGATGCACTCCAAGAGGGCAGCACTCGCCCCTCCAGCTTGCGCCTGTGCGTTTGCCATCGCTTATCAAGGGTATTTGGTTGGACTCCAGGATACGACGGCCTGTGCAAAAGCTGAGGCGCTGGTTCGAGCCGCAGTGGCTGCCATTGGTTGAGGCCTATACAGGTATCTCCGCTCAAAACCTTCGGGAAACAAAATTAAAAGTCATTCCACTGTTCCTTCTGGCATCTCTAAGAAGGAACCACAGCTTGTGTAAAACACGGAAGACGTGTCATTGCCAAACTGATGACTCTGTCTCAAGTCCCTTGGTTCATGGTCTAAAAACACTCCAAGCTAACCGCAGCTAACCTGCCAAACCGATGATCTGTCTCAGATCGCTTGGTTTGGTTCTCTCATGTTGTCTCTTCCCTTTCGACCAATTGAGTCAAACCTCTTCCACACTCCGCCCCGCTCTTCCCGCTGCGCTCGACCTGGTCGTAGATGAGGCATCCACGCGCAGCTGGCGGTCGAGCGACGAGCTAGGCGGGCGCTCGGCTGCTGGAGTGGTGGACCGTGCACGGAGCAACACCCCAAGGAATACCACCTGTATGAAATAGATGTCCAAAATGTGTCACGTGGAATCAAAAGGAAGATGAGTCTTGTCATCGAACATCATCAAATCAAACCCTTGTGAATCGTTCGAGCAAGCTGTCAGTCCACCAATGAGACCCGTCATGAGCAACCGGTCAGTGACGCCTTCTCTCCGTTTGGAGGGCCAACGAACCACAAATTCCTACATCCTATCACAACGGGTATCAAAATGGATTCTAAGTATATTATCTTGTTTGGGTGTATACCTGCCCACAAAAACCTAACAAGCCTCTTAATTGCCTGTTACTTGGCATAATGTTCAGCTGATGGTTCCTCCTCCTTCGCGCCCCGGATGCAGGGAGGCTGTCCGGACATTGGACACACCAGACACCTGTGCTTCCGGACATTTGGCCATAATGCCCCCACGCGTCCGCGGCGTACAGACCGGGGTGATGGTTTCATACCTCACATGACTCGTTTCACCGCACGCACGGAGCCGGGGGGAGGTATGGAAGGGCCCAAAGGGCCCGATCTCGAGAGGTGCGGCAGCAAGTGGGTGTTTCCGATGTTCCCTGGTCATGCCAACAAAAGGAAGAACACATGCAGAAACATCGCTGCATCATGACGAACACTAACCATACACAAAAAACCAAAGCCACCAAAGCCTAGCATGAGGGCACAGCAAGACAGAACTACTAGGCAGGAGGCATTTGTACAAAGGCTTCAATGCAATAGCATATTTGACAGCGCCCTGACAGAGCTTGGTGCACCAAAAAAAAACAAACAAGAAAAGAAACAGCATGAACAACGTTGTTTGAACAAATGATGAACACATCATCAATGTACTGTAATTGATACAACACCCTTTCCCCTCAAGGTGATTGGGAAAAAAACTAGGTCACCATGTTAGTTAAATGTGTAATCCTTCACTGGTGAAAAAAAACATTCCAAGGTAACACTCAAATACAATCCCTCCTCCAACACATGTAAATTAGACAAGTGGAAAACCAGTGTCTTTCCTTCTGGTAGCGGAACTTGGATCACTTCCACTGCTTCCACTTTCTTATGTTGGATTAAAGGACCTCGGCTCGGATTGACCTTGCAAAAGGGAATGCTACTTACTACTGGACCACAGTAGTGGTCCACTGGCTGCAGTTATCACGGTCCTGCATGAATCCTAAAGGCTCTGGGAATGGGAGAATTTCTGTGAGCACCGAAGCTCCCGCGACCAAGCGGAACTGAAAAACAACACACTGATGGCAATAGTTATGATACACACCTGAACACAATAGCGATGGCCTCCGGCCTACTAGCGATGGCCTCCAAATAAATAGCGATGGTCTCCAACCTAATAGCGCAATGGCACTCGCAATGGCCTGAACCTACAGAATAATAATCCGATATTTCATGATATTTCCCAGGTCTGGTGTTCTGGATGAATCTTCTGGCTTCAGGAGTGTGTAGTGACCTGATATCCAATCCACATGACCCCTCGGTTTTCCCGGAAAATAGAGTAGAGACTTACCATGGTTCAACTGTTCCGATCTCTTTACTTTAGGGAAACAACTCATCAATCAATATCAATCATACAACAAGAATCCAAAAAGAATCCAGCCTCTGACCGACTCTGTCAGTTCTTCATCTACTCAAGTGAGTGAGCTACCTGAGCTACCCACCTGAGCTACCCACCATGCCCACCCGGACGTACTACTTTTATCTACCCGCTCGTGGGCCAACCGCCCCCCCAAAAGCCCCTAGTAGCTTCTTTGTTACTAGTAGCGATGCCCTTTGTTCCTACTAGCTTCTTGCTCCTAGTAGTAAGGCCAGGAGCCCCGATCTTAGCGTCCTTTGCTACCAGTAGCGGCAGTAAGCCCAGGTGCTGGCCAACCGCCGGCCAGTTCTTCTTGGAGTTGTGATCGTCCCGAGCAATGCGGCTGAACCTCACTTCTGGCAGTCCACAGCTCTGGCGGAGCGTGGATGCCGCAGCCACCCAACGGCCCAACGGAGCATGGATTTCGGTGAACGAATTGGCGTTCAAAAAAGGATCTTCAAATGAGCAGGCTATGGGGCTATGGCATGCTATGGCTAGAGTCCTGGCTTGGAGATGAGATAGCTGATTGTTCAGTGCCAGCGGCACCTTGCTGTGAAGTTTGGTGCATTAAACCCAGGTAGTAACAAGCGCACGCTATTAGCAACAAGGGCATTGTTTCTAGTAACAAGAAACTGCTAGTGTCTTACTGAGATTCAGTATTGTCTTTCCTGTCCAACAAGGTGAACTTCCTGTGAAGCGAAGTGGACTTCGTCTCCGAGATACATAGAATAGATCAAATCCTGCATCTGGTGCCAGGAAGTTGCATGAATGATGAGGTTGCTTGCCTTCTCACCTAATGAAACAGTTCTACTCAGCCCTGCATGTTTGTTTGAGTCTCCTTCGCCCCCCGCAAAAAAATAGAATGTTTAATCATGGAAGTGGTATAGGTCCTCTTCTTGACTATCAACATTGGAACATATTGGAACCACCTGAACCACTGCCCTTGACGCTCCGGCCCTTGGACGGTCCAGCCGGGTAAACCCTCAGGCTGCCACTGCCCCAAGGGCGCCTTTTGGCCAAAAGGCCTCGTGTCTCGTCCGCGCGGCCCGTCGTCGTGCGGTCGTGCGGTCAGTGCGGCGGAAGCGGAACTCGGTGGAAAGACCGTCGTGAAACAAAGGATTCACTGAGAAACATCACGGATGATCGTTTTTTGCAGATTCCCTTGAGACTTCTCGTGCTAATTTGGATTAAGGGTGATTATGGTGAGAAAAGACGTTGTTGCTCCATACAAAATCCAGCTTGTTGAGCTGCAACGATTAGGTGCACTGGGGATGGTGTGCTCTATAGTCTATTGTTATCTTCATTCTAACTCTAGGATGTTTTATGTTTCCACTCGGCTTTAAATGGTTTTAGGAGTTATGTGTGTGTGTCCATTTCACTTTTGTCACGAAAGTATTGTCTTTTTCTTACAACCATTCCTTGTGAACATTGCTGTCATCTCAAGCCTTGCCAGCTCTGCCAGGCTGTTGGAGGGTTGTTTTATGGGTCTTTAGCTACTACTGTAGTACTACGTTCAGGTGAAACTGGAAGGGAGCTGCTGAATATTGGAGTGACTGCTTTGCTGGAAACAGTTACTTGTTTGCTGTGTCGCTGTCCTAAAAATTCCTAAAAGCCTGGGCCAAGTCGACGTGAGAGGTGCTTAGTATTGAGACGTCTGAAACCAGACTATGGCACCCTAACATGCCCTTCCAAAAGCTGCATCTGTCCGAAACCTTGTCAAAATTATGTTTGGTGCATCTTCTAAACCACATGTAATTTCTTCGGCCCAGTGGAAGGCATTCTAAATGGAACTGTTGCCACTACTGTTGACTTGCTGAAGCTCTGTTCCCTTGACTCTGGGCGTCCAGCTTCCCTTCTTTGTTGTAATAGTCTGGACCAGGCAACTTTGCATTCTTCTTCACCTGCGGTTCCGCAGGTTTTTCGAGACCACGTTCCCCTCGTCCGGGAATGGATGAAACAGTCACCCGTCAGCGTCGGTGCGCCCAACGCAGGACTTGGAAGGAACACATGACAGCGAGGCTTCTGAATATATGCCAAACGCTCCCAGGGACTGCCAAAATGGCCTACATGACTGGTGGATTTGGGTGGTGAATGCAGGGCCATATTTGCTTACATGGAGCCTTAGGGTATGGACATTGGATGAAATAGGTCCCAAAATCGCACACAACTCAAGATCAGCTGTGGTCTGCCGCAAGAAAGGTGCTCATCGTACATCGTCGGATTGTGCATCCTGTTGTCCATCCCAACCGCTCCGGTGCCTCAGTGAACAAACTGCCAGCCTCATTGGACGCCTGTGCTGCGTCAAACGTCAGTGGATGATCACTTCTTGCATGTTACACATCGTCATGGTCGAGGCAAGGGTCAAGCTCATCCATTGTGGTTAATTTCCTTTTCTAAGTACATTGCCTGCTGTGGACTCATAAAGTGAAACATAAAAGGACTCACTTGTGGTGCACTTGGGCACTCCTGCAACAACCAGTGGTGGAGCTACTTTTGGACCCCAAAGCCATGTCCTTGATCGGCGGCCAAGCAAGCTCTGGTCAAACCCTAACACACACCTTTTGTCACCTGCCAGTGCCCATCGATGCTGATAACAACCATAGTAAAGTAAATCATACTCGAGATATATCTGGGAGTGCCAAAAGTCAGATCAAAATATACACATCTGGGGATGCAGCATGAGTCAAGAAAACCACAAACACACTAGGGTAAGAATAGCCCATTTGGTATACCCATGTTCATCTTCCTCACATAAAAGTGAAATCTATAGTGCCACGGAGCTATTTATAGCCAAGATGAGCTTACAGTTCACAAGCAGCCTGAAGCAGGACCGCTTGGTGGTTTCAACCAACTCGCTGGAAAATCTTAGTTAGTGGGTTCAATCATCCCAAGTGAAGGCAAACAAGTTTAAACAAAATATCTGAAACCACCACCCATATTCACCCATAAAGTTGCTCATGTGTCCTATTCATGCTTGCCTTTGGCATGGTTCCACCGTGTACTGGCCCTTCTGCACCGCATTTGGGGACGTGGTACCTGCAACGAAAGAACGAATGACCTCGTCGACCCATCGGACGTACTGCAAGGCATTAGGCAACGACCAATCTTTCTGAAGTACTTTAGCCTCTAAGACTATCCTCAAGAGGTACCTGGAGCCTATGGCTAAGTCCAAATATTGCTTTTTGAGCAATCCATGCAAAATGTCTCACAAGGCCCCATCTCACGCAGCCTACAAATCTTTACAAGAAAAAAACGATCATACAAAGGGGTGCTCAATCGAGGTTAGGGGTGCCCATTATCCACTCACGTGGGGACTAAACACCACCCCTTTGTGACTCCTGGCAGTAACACCGAAACCCCAAGTCGCTCCCCAACTACATGGCTGTGGGGAACTGGCGAGACCGACTGGGCACGACCGCCTCAACATGAACTGCCCTTGACGAGTTCACCCCCCCCTTCCAGCTGGAACTGGCTGTTGCGGAACATGGGGGGCCTGTGCCATCCAATCACGAATGCATCATAATGTATAGACAGTTGAGGCTGTTGAGCAATAAAACTCTCCAGAATAATTGCGATGAAATGCCATGTTCATAGCAGTATACAACAGTTTTATCATCAGCAATCGACAGTAGACCATCCAACCTGTTCTTCCCTGAATCGATATGTTCTTGGAGCAAGTCCCTCAAAAAGCAGCGAAGCCAGCGCACGCATCCAGCGCGAAGCCGTTCTCCATGACTGGTCTGGTCGTAGCCGACAGTAAAGAAGGATTCAGGGTTTTGTGGGGGGTAGGCAGCTGCCTGAACCCTTCATGTGAGGTTGATCCACTCCGACTTATCCGTTCGATACCAAATGTAGACATGTTGAGTTGAGCTAGTTCAAGATTATTGAAACAACACCAAAACTGATGGGATCCTGAGTCAGGGTCGGACGCCCGAATTGAGCAAGCTTTCCCTGTGCCACCCAAGCGTGTGGAGCAATGTTGCAATACAAACGAAGGATTGAAGGAACCGAGCAGGGCCCAAAGGTAATCAGTAGTAAGTAATACTAAACCAAACGTGTGCATGTCTCAAAACGACTCCCAAATCTCTGGGGTGTTCAGATCCGCATTCTCTTCCATCTGTTAGTTTAGGCCCGTCTCTGAGACATGCGGTCGTGTTTTTGCCAGTTGTGCCTCAGGCTTCCGAAACAACTTCAAAACTCACACCAGAGAAGATCAAGTTAAAACACTGACACCGTGTCGATCGAATCAATCCGAGCAGTGGAAACAACACACATGTTATAAATATATATATATATATAAAGCATTGGTTGCTGGCAAACATACTCTTTCTCAACTTTGCATCAACCTCAACATGTTTGTCGATTTTGAGGACCTCAAACCTCAAACGTTATCTTCTTCGGTTCTGAAGAACTTGCCGGCTTTGCGACAAAGGCTCCCACTGTTTGCAAGGCTGATGTTCAGCTCGCGAACCAGACCTTGCTCGTTTGCTCGAAAAAAAGGTTCCAATGTGCTGCAACTACCAATGATTACCAATGATTGCCAAATAGTTGTTTCCTGTAACAAGAAACATGCTTATACATACTATACCGTATATTATGCATAATTAGTACAAATCATTGCAGTAAGCAATGCCCTTTGTCTTTGCTTCAGCAACTTGCTCATCTGGCTGTAAAAATGAAGGTGATACAAATGCAATGCAGCTATCATAAAATTGAACATCCTCAACGGAAACTTCAATGTTCACTGAGTTTGGAGATGAATCTTCCAACTCCTCCGTATTCACATGTTCCTGGAGACTCGCAGGTTGTCCGCCCATTCCGATTCCGCTGGGCGTCCCTAGCCAGTTGAGACGCGCTACTTTTGGTTCGCAATCCGTTTCAGCCCGGCAGCGGAGGTGACCAAGAGATTGATGCATCAACATGCTTTCCACTTAGACTAGCCTCTGCTGGTGCTGGTGGTTGGTGGCGCTAGAGAGTCACAGTGCCCAGTGGAGCGCAACAAAGAACATGCAATTGTCAACAAAACACGTGAGCACTTTGAACATGTTTGGCTCATTTCTATCTATTGGTGGTCATGTTTGGGGATCTTTAAACAAATCCCATGATAGCACGGTCCCCTCCGCAAACAGCCTTGGCAGAGCCGGTCCCCAACTCAAAGAACTGGCAAGAAGTGAGGCTCAACGACATGCCCATATCACTTGGCTTTTTACAGCATTACAGCAACACATTGAGCATCGTTGACACTGTTAGACAAGAAATTGAACCGATTACTGCACCATCAGGCGCCCATGACCTTAAGATCTATGGAACAACATGTTGTGGAGGTCCTTTTTCTCCAACAGGAATCGATCCCAAAGGCAACTTTGCCAACTCTTCCATATCTAATTCGATACGGCCCTAATACTTACATTTCAATATATATATATATTGACTTAGTCAGCAAAAGCTGGAGGAAAACAACAGCGTGCCTGGATTTTCGTTTCGCTCAGCTGTGTCAGGGCGCGTTTCACCCGTTCCAGCGTGGCCATGCGCGGTGCGCGGCCTGGGGCGAAGCGGACTTGGAGGAGGTGGATGGTCCATGGAATGACCCAAGAGGGTGCACTCATCAAGATCTCTTTAGGTATGAAATCCCAAGAGGGTGTCCGGCTGTGACAAGAAAGGAAGGGTATATTCGTATTAGATATATAACTAGAGCACCATATAAGTGTATGAACACCAGCCGTTTGAGTTGGACCACCTGAGGATTGGAGGTGAACATGCACTTCATAGAGTAGGGACAATCCATATGGCCTCCAACCTAGTCCCATCGGATGATGGTGGAAATCCCAAACGGATGTCCATGGCATTCCATCTTGAAGCGATCTGTGGGTCACGGGCAGTCACTGTACGTTTGCGATTACACAGCCCTTGTCCTTGTCCTTGTCATCAATACTGGGAAGAAGGCCATACTGTGTGAAAGGCCTCCGTTTGTATATCTGAATCTGAGAAGGCCTCCGAAAACGGCCGACCCAGCAGCTGCCTGAGTGTTCGTCTTCTTCCGCTTGATCAGCAGCTTCCTCTGCCAGGGTGTGGAACTTCATCGCTTCTTCCGCTTTGGACTTCTCCTCCTGGGGAAGCGGTGCCATCGACCCCCCCCGAACCTTGGGATGGGTCTATAGGATCCATGATGTGCATGAGGGACGCAAGCTTCGGAGGGATGTCAAGTGACCTGGACCATGGGGGCCTTTGAGATTGACATCTGTTATAGTGGATCACACATAGGTCTTTTAATAGGTGTTGACCGTATGCCATCTACGTATGATCCACTATATATCAATGACAATGGTCACATATTATGTTTACCCATGTTCTCCTGATACAAAGCCTTCTCATCCATCAGCTGCTGGGAGCATCGAGAGAATTCCGCTGCCAGACGATCTTTGATCTGTTCCAGGCGGGCCAGTTCCTTCAGCAACTCAGAGGAAAGCTCTTCTGCTGCGAGTCCTTACAGTAGCATTCATTTCGAACATGAGCAAATCATTGAACAGGTTGATGAGACTCAACACATATCATATGATTCAACGATGTGCTCCTGAGAAGCAGCTGTAATTGAACCACGCATGAAAGTTTGAGCTTCCAGTTCACACTCAAAATGCTAATCCACATGGATTCTGCCGGTTTTGAGTCTTCTGCCTGATGTGCCCTGATTTCGTGAACTGAAGCATCATGGTCAAGCTAGCCATCCACCTCCCATGAAGAGCTTGGTCGATCTTCAGGGTGGGGGACTCCCAACATCCCAAGCAAGTACCTCGTGGATGTCTTTAGTATATAACCTGGTGGACAAATCCCAAAGAAGCTGGGTGCAAAACCCCACAGGATTCAGGTCTCTCCAGATCAAGGACTGATTACACGTGGTGCCGAGTCCAGAAGCTCTGCCCCCCGGGGTCTCAGCTCCAAGCTGAGGCTGTTGCCTCAGGATAGCCGAGGAACCTTTTTCGGAGGCCTCTTGAATCTGCGAGAACTCTGCTTCAGTCTCCTCCACCAACGCCTGTTGCTCACATGACTCGTATGGACCATTGTTGCAGGCCATGAGAAGCTCAACTACCAGGGGTGTGGATGGAGCCCAATTAGGGAGACCTCCCAGACGCATCCGAACCCTCTGGGTTCGGTTGAAACGGACCAGAACAACCATCCAAAAACCTCCCTATTAAAATACACCTCCAACATGAGCCACATGACCCAGAAACATCTAGAAAGTGTTGACGTGCCGATGAACTGGTGATCCAAGGATGGCGAAACCGGTCCCAGCCGTAGGACGTCGATGGGAATGCCGATGGTGTCTGTCTGGATGCCCGTCCGGCTTGGGGGGTGACCCTCGCGGGCCCCTGAAGCCCCAAATGACTGGGAATGGCCTACAGGGCCTAGAGGGACCTTTCTCAGCCACAGGCAACTTGGTATGTCTTCTCGGCGCCTCATGCAAGCTTTGGAAGCAAAGGTGGAAACTTGAGACCAAACCTTTCAACTGGTTGGCTGGAACAAGCACCACTTGCTATGAGCGATACAACAAGCACCTCTCCACTGGCTATGACCAACATTCTGGTTGTGGTTTCTAGAAACTTCCGTGGGAACCACGTTTGCACCGACGGAAATCCCCATGCACCGACGTTTGGCACCGACTTCGTCGACATGGAACGACTCGCTGCCTTCTCTATCACCTCCAAGTTCTCGAGTCGTTCCGCCTCAATCTGCTCCTCCTGTCGCAGCCGCTCCTCAAGAACGAAGCGACGAACGAGCGAAGTATGAGCCAACTACTTCCAAGTAAGAACACCGTCTACACCAAACAAACTCCAGTTGTTGCCTATGTGGCCTATGTGGGCCATTGTGGGCCTATGTCATCTGATCAGCTAGTAATCTTGCACAACCCGTCTTTATTATAAGCTCACTCGTGGCTAAACATAAACGCTACAAAATGCTACAAATAATTGGCTTTAATAATGCTGTTACGGTGTTTTTTCCCAAAGATCAAACATTGCATTTGTGGTAGCAGGATTTGAGCACATGCTTCCAACCCTTGACTTTGCCTTTTTTTGATTACCGTGGCGTCCTGTCCTCTCACTGAAAGATGCCTCCGGCAAACACTTAGGCCATTAACTTGGCAGCTTAGGCCGTTTGAAAATACAGAACAGCATCAAACAACTTCACACCTCAGGTCAACAAATCCACCAACGAACGCCACTCACTCCGTGTCGCGCCCCTCTCCAAGGCTCCAACTCCGCTCGCAGGGCCCGCCAGCGCCGCGGGCCGCCGGTTCCGGCCGTTTGGGGCGACGACGCGTCGGCCGTGCGGCGCGGGGCGTTGAGCCGCTCCAGTGTTTCGAGCTCCGACATCAAGGCACTCACCACGGCGCCAGCCGTGTCGGTCGGATCAGCGCCTGGTGCGCCGCTTTTTGGAGCGGTCTGGTGACGGTGACCCTCCCTGCGATGGATGGCATGGTCCTGGGAGAAAGACCATAGAAAATCCTCATACCAATTCATACCAAACAGATCCAAACAGGAGTTTTCAGATATTTTCAGTCCACTTCCAGATTTCATGTTTGTTGGGGAGGGTCAACAGATCCTCAGACTACAGGATATTAGGCTTGGCACGCAATCTTGTAGATGTGATTGAATACAAACCTGACCTTGAGACAAGGGAGGGGGTCATGCCAAGCATAGATCCATTTACACTCCCTGAAGTAATCGAAGTGGAAATGGC